AAATAATGCAGGGTGATAATATTTGGTGGCAACAGTTTGACAAATGATTTGCTGTTTATAGTGGATGATGCAAAATCTCATTTTCAGACTAATAGCCTTTTTGGGCATTTTGTTTTTTGCACTTTCAAAATCATTTTCCATATACACTCCTAATGATTCCCCTGGGCCACTATTCCTTTCTTCCTGTGACCTTAAATATTCTGTAGCTTCTACAATTTTTCTGCTAAAAACTTCTTTGCTCCCCCATGTCCAGTAATACATCTGATGGTATGCTGTTTTACACATTTCATTTGAGATTTATTTTGACATTGGCCATCAGCAAATGAAAATAGTGCCAGTATCAAATCGCCCACCTGCTGCCTTCAAACCTATTATCACCTTCGTCTACAGGTTTGCAAAAATTTCCACTGAATCTTCGCTTGTATCTCTATGTTTTAATTGATTCTCAATGACTTGCAAATTTTGCGGCTATTTCATATGTTGTTCTTGCATATCTGTGTTTCTTAGCTTAAAAGAAAGTCTTGAATGCCAGGCAATAACCTAGACCATAGATGGGGAACCTGCGGCCTCCGCGAGGTTTTTGTGTGGCCCTTTGCCACCTAGTACAAAATGGTAGAGTTTGTTTCAAACAACTATTGTACATCAACACCATGACAGTTGCGCGAAAAATCCCGCCAAAGACATCATATTGTAACATGACGTCAGAATACTAGTCTGAAACGGACTCTAACACGCATGAGCGAGGCTCTGGCCCACAGCTAGCAGCGCCAACTACCTTAATAATACCTAAACAATACCTAAGAAGTAAACAAAACAACTACCTAAACAATACCTAAGAAGTAAACAAAACTTGGTTTCAGATCTCCCATTTGAGTGTCACACCTTGCTTTGGCTTCTCTGATTCGCATCTCTCAACGCTTCCCTGTTGCGATCTTCAGCTAACTGTAGTTAACAGTGCGTGCTTATAACAGGTACACAGTTTTATTGTATTTCTAGAAAGTAAACACTTTGTTAAAGATATTATTTGATATTCGTTTTTTTATCCATCATGTCAAATAGTAAGAGAAGAAAATTAGGTGATGAAAACAGAACATTTAATGTAGAATGGGAGTTAGATTTTTTCTTTACTGCTGAGAAAGATAAAATGATGTGTTTGTTGTGCAATACAGTTTTAAATACTTTAAAAAAAGCGAATGCAAATAAACACTATTTGACTCATAAAGAACATAAATATTTCGCTTTCGAAGGTGAATCACGAAAAGCTGCACTTCAAAAGTTGAAAAATGAGAAGCATCATCAGCAGGCATCTTTTAGTGCCTTTGTAAATCAAAATTCTGCTGCAGTTGCTGTTACGTATAAAATAGCACATATACTTGGAAAAAGGGGGAAACCATTTAGTGACATTGAAATAATTAAAGAATGTATTGTTGAAGCAGTGAGTATGTTAGATCCAAGAAATGTCGACAAATACAAACAATTACCTCTTTCAAGAAGAACTGTAACAGATCGACAGCACGAATTAGCGCAAAATGTAACAGAGCAACTTCATGCAATTATACAAAATGAAGATTGTTATTTTTCAATTGCTTTAGATGAAAGCACTGATTAAAAACAGATTCAGCGCAAGTTTTATATTTTATTCGTGCTATAACTAAAGATTTTCAATGTTACGAAGAACTACTTGCGTTGGGTACACTAACTGGAAGAACTCGCGGAGCCGATATTTTCGAAAACTTCAAAGAAGTGAAGTATGTAATAAATTACAATTGAATGTCAGTAATTTATTCAGTGTCTGCACCGATGGCGCACCCTTCCATGAGAGGCAAAAAAAGAAGGATTCGTTGCTTTGTTAAAAAAAAGGAAAACTTAAACTTGAAAAAATTGATATCATTTCACTGCATTTTGCATCAGCAAAATCTTTGCGCAAAATCTACCATTTTGCAAGACACTCTGGATAGAACCATTGCCATTGTCAACTATATTCGCGTAAATAGAATGCGTCATCGTGAATTTCGGCAGATGCTCTCTTTAGATGAGGAAACGTATAGTGTTGACCTGCCATACTACTGCAAGGTTTGCTGGCTATCAACAGGTCAGGTTTTTGATAAAAGTTTTATCTTTACGACGACAAATTTTAAACTTTTATAAAGAACAAGGAAAACAATGTGATCTATCAGATGAAGTATTTCTCAGAAACCTTGCATTTTTGTCTGATATGATGACAAAACAAAACAATTTAAATATTTGCCTGCAAGGTGAAACAAGGTATATTTATGAAATGTGGCAAAAGATCCAAGCGTTTAGAAAAAAATTATAATTTTTCAAAACATTGCTTTGTTAATCGGAAATATCTGCACAACACTTCCCGGAGCTAGCTAAAATGTTAAATGAGCAGAACTGTGAAAATAAAATATTCGATGAATATGTAGGTGTCTTGGATTGTTTAATAGAAGAGTATACTAATAGATTTTCTGATTTTGATGAGCACACTCCTGCTATGAAACTGGCATTTGAACCACATTTAATAGATATATCCGAGGCTCCTGCAGAACTACAAATGGAGTTAATTGATTTAGGGGAAGATAGTATCATCAAATCCCTTTTTAACGCTAAAAAGGATCCCATAGAAATCTGGAAAAATGCTGTTGAATATCCATGCCTTCGAGAACATGCTCGCTGTTTACTTTCCTGCTTCGGAAGTACCTACTGTTGCGAGACAACATTTTCTCTCGTAAAAAATGAAAACAAATTTAAGAACGCAAATTACAGATGCACATTTAGAGGATCAATTAAAGCTGTGTGTTACGAAGCTTGATCCAAATATACAATTACTGTCAAACAAAAAACAAAGCCAAATAAGTCACTAACTTAGTGAATAAAAAAATATTTTTATTGTATTTTTTAATAATATTTTTATATTATTTTATATGTATATTATATTTAAAATTTTGTATTATATTTTATTTTTTCTATATAATGCAATAAATTGTTAAATCTATAGAAAAACTATAATAATTTCACAAAAGTCACTTAGGTCAATCAGCTTATGCGGCCTCTCTTATTGCTGCCTAATTTAAATGTGGCCTCTAATGGTAAAAAGGTTCCCCACCTCTGAGTCCTAGGCAATATAATCAAAATACCTTTTTCATCAGGTTCTATTCCATATAGCAAGTTTACCACTAGAACTTTCTTCAAAATAAAGTCTGACAATGCCTCTGCCCTAGTCTGATATTTACCAAAAAGTTAAACTTCTAATTTCACCATATTTGGCCATGGAGAAAAAGTTTTAAAGGGTAGTTTTAAACACTTAAAATTCTTGCTTTTTGGTCCACCTAATAAAAAATTTACTAGTGCTTTGTGCCAGCTCAGGGCCTGTCCTCAAAGTGCTGTGGCTGCTAAGGTGACCTTTTGCAACAGAGCATAGCAAAAAATGCATTTCTATCTGTTCCAAAAATGTTTAGATCAAACTTCTTCCATTGAAAGTGATGGACAGCATCAGTGCTTGGTGGTGTTTATGATGAACCTAAAGACTTCTATTGGACTTACTGGTGTTGGAGGAACTTGGAATTTGGGAGTAGTAGGCTAAAAGTTGGTTGGTCATGGAACATAGTTTTTAATCATTCAGGTGTAAGGCTGAAATTGATCTGGAAACTAAATTTAAGTCCTACAAGTCTACTAGACAAATTAGTGAAGCATTGCTACATCTGAAATACTATCACAAAGACTTGCAAAGGTTTTAAGTAACCTTTTATTTAATCCGAACTTGTAATATGCAAGGCACGACTTGTGCTACAGACAAGAACCTCTAGTCATGGTGATGTAAATTAAACTATAAGAATTAAACAAATTTAAATATTGATAAAGTAACCCAAGACTACGATTTTAGATGCTAAGCTATAAGCTGGCTCAATATTTTATTGGTGCATAAGTTTAAGGTATCGGCTGGGAGAGAATGTAAAGCTGAAGTAATCACTTATAGACAGAGCTGGCAAAATTCTAACAGTGCAGTACCATTGTCAGACCTCCTTTCTCTCAAAGATTCAGAGCCCTCAGCTTATATAGTCTAAAAGATAATTTGCATTCTAGTGAGGAGTGTGGAAGGAAGAAGTCATAGTAAAGATCAAAATCATAATAATTGGTTAGATAATATAATGTATTGTTGCATGTGTATGGGTTTGTAATAGATTAAATGCACAAGTCCGATAATAGGTTAATAAAATTTATTCTTATCAAAAGAAATATATCAGAATACTGAAATTTTCCTGATAGATATTGGTACAAGTGTTCACAATGTAATCAGTAGTTGTACTTCAAACTACTAAAAATGTTAAAATACAATGCAATGCAAAGAGGAAAGATAGCTAATTTAGATATCTCATTTCATGCGGAACCAAACTCTCAATAACAGTAACAACTAACTAAAATGCTCTCTCTCTGGCCTTTTATAGATTTCAACTGGCTGAGTGAGATCTTCTTAGTATTTCTGGAAAGCAAAAAGAGTGTGGAATTATAGTTACAACTAACATAGTGTTCAATTACATTTATTCAGTTTCAAAATAAATTATTGAGATAACTTTAACTCAATGTTAAATTTACATACTCCTGTAATTTACGTTTTCCAGCATAGCTTTCTCTTAAAATTTGTCCTGCATCGCATGGGGAAGTACAACAGTTTTAATTATAATTCTACTAAAATTAGCTATCTAAATACCAAATTCATAACAATATGTTATACAGTCATTTATAGTTATGTATAAAACTGATCAAATCTAATCTATCTTATGCTAGATCAAATCAAATCTAATAATCTGTCTTATGCCAGATCACAAACTGCGTGAAGTGTCTCATCATAAACAGTAATTCTAAACATAAATCAAATTTTTAAAAAAATAATTTATTAATTTTGACATTGCACAACACATATGGCATTTTCATAAGATATTCTATTATTTTCCTGTATTTCATGACTAGGTATATTAATTTAATTTAATGCATTTAAGGTATTACATTGCTGATGGGGTAAGAATATATTCTCAAGAAAGCTGGCGCAGAATTGTTAAGGAAAATGGAAGAATGTTCGTAAAGAAATATATTGATAGATTTGTAAGTAATGTTATTAATTTTATTATATTTATAGAATTTACAAACCAAAAGTTTCCTGTTCTGCTTTTTTTTTTTTTTTTTTTTTTTTTTAAGAAAAAATACAAGTTCTGAATGAATTATTGATTTTAATATATTAGATTTGATATATTTATTAGCTTAATTCAATTATTGGTTGATGCAGAAATTTGCCCCATTTTAAAAATTCAGGTTAGCCATTGTACATGATGCTCAGATGAGTGAAATTTTCTGTCAATAAAATATATAGATTAACAGTATATAAAGACAATGTGCTTTGAAGAATAAATTATTCATTTAAAATGGACAAAGAATATATCAGACATTGTCTTTTGTATGAGTTTGATAGAGATAGTACTGCAGCCAACATGCCGAAACATTCATCAAGTGTCTAAGGGGATGCATTTGATGATGCACATGTGGTTGGTTTTTATAAATCATGGATTATGACAGAATTAAAAAATTTTAGACATGTTCCAGAAATTCATCAGTTGTGTCTGGAACTGAGCCATATTGACTGTGCCGTGTGCAACTGTTGAAAAACTTTTAAATGGTAAATTAAACAATTTAAAGATGAATAAACACATATAGATTCGTTGCAAAGCTGGATCAATAGGTTCAACGTCAGCTGTCTGAAAAGCAAGGACAGGTAAACCTGCTATCTGTCCTTTTCTGCATACATGTTCCAGAATAAGCTATTTGTGGAGTATATTATATTAGCTAATGAGAAACAGGTGTTCTGCTGTAATGCTGAACCCCTTTGAAAAAAATCTAGAATATTGAACAATAATCTAGGCATTATAATCTGAATAAATTTTGCATCAGATTTTATTCTGTGAAGCAAATTTACCACCTGACTTTCCTCAAAATAAAGTCTGTCAATTCCTCTTTCATCAAAGGGGTTATCTTTCATCATGGTAAAGCGATGCATTAATCACTCATAACAATGCATTAATCACTCAGAAAAATAGTACTCAACCAGACTTTGCTCCTTTGGATGTCATCTTTTTCAATCACTGCAGAATTCCTTGGCTCTTCAAACCTTGAATAATGTGCATGATATGAAAACAGTATTATAAATTTTTTTAAAATTCTAGTAGAGATTTTTTATCAACAATGTATTAACCCAAAGCAGATTGCAAGAGATTGTGGTGTTTTAACCATAACTGGACTTTTGAGCTATTATTTACTTTCTAACTGTTTATGTAACTGCATTATTTCATATAACTAAAACTGTAACTGTAAAGAAACTTTATGTATGTAATTATAACTGGATCTCTATCTTGGTGAGTAGTGTAGTTCTGCTTATGTTTGCATGCATCCTTGTGACATGCATTTGTTAAATATAAAAGTTGTTATGTTTTGAAGATGACTAGTGATTTAATTAGTTAATTGAATTAGTTCTCTTCCAGTATAACAACTTGTGTAGTGATCTAGTATACTATAGTGGTGTACTTGATATAGCACAAGATCAAACTTAAAGATAGCTTTTAATTGAATACATGTGTACTTTAAATTTCCTTTTATTCATGTATTTTTTGCATCTAAAGAAGGAAATAGACTTTTGTATCAATTCAATAATCAAACTATAAGAAAATAATATACTAATCAGTCTAATGAGGATAGGGAATACTTTTGATGTAATCTTATATTTAATAGTAATAGAATAAATATAAAAAAATTTTTAGTTTTCTAAATTCAAAGGAATTCAAAGTCTTTGATAATTTTTCAGTGTGTAATATAGAAAAAATATCTATATTTTGCAAGTATGTTTAATGTATTACAAATGCAGTGTTAAATTAGAAACTTCATACTTAAGTTCTTGAATTATCACAACTATGCATCATTTCATATTTATCAGCTTTTTCTTTACATTCTAAATGCATTTGGTTTTTTAGAATAACAGAAATCTTAATTAATTCCAAAAATTCTAAAGTGAAGAGGAAACAAATTGAAGAAAGAAACAATACATAAAGAGGAAGAAAATTATTCTTCAATGATATGTACAGTTATTATTATGCAAATTAACCAACTGTTTATAATTTTAGCCTTTACTATAAGTTAACCTTTCCATTTCTTCACCATAATGCAAATCATATAGTTTTTAAACTGAGGATTTGAGACTGACAGACAGAGTGTTTCTGCCTTCCACTTGGATGTTGCATTAGTTTCTGCCAGCTCTGATAATTACTAATTATTCATCTTAGCATTATTACCATTAACATTTGAATTTGTTTTGACTATAAAGTTACTGAACCAGCTTGGGTTAAAATTAAATTGTGTAGTCTTTGACTACTAGTCTACATTTTTAGTTTGAATTTGATTATTCCTATTTAACTGCATCACTACAAGCTATAGTTGATTTTGTCAACATAGGAACGTACCTGTATGTTCTAAGTTCTTTTTAAATAAAATAATTTATGTGCCTTTGTAGTTACTTTCAGACATAGCGATAATTTGCTTCATGTCTATAAGAGGTTTTGGACTGTTTAACGCTTACTAGATTAAATAAAACCTCGTTACGTACACTTTAAGAGACTAGCAAATTAGGAGATAAAGCATGCAAAAACTAGTGGGAACATTGGTTTGTCTATTGAAACAGATTTTTAATTGTTAGAAAAGATGTTTAAACAGATTGTTGTAAAACAAAATTGATATAAATTAAGCCAAAATGTCTGGGAAGGCTTCAAATTAAAAAGACGCATAAATATTTTGTCATGTGTTGTTGCTACAAAACATAAATGTTTTGTATCTTTTAATGTGGAATTACTCTAATACCATTTAAGAATCAATGTTATGACATGGATTTAAAACTGACAATTTAAAACTACAAACATTTTAAACTGTGAGATGTTATTGGATTGTGATTTTAATACAGTCAAAATTCATTAATCCGGACTCGTCGGGACTTTGGCGATTCCAGATTATCGATTTTTCAGGATTACAGATCATCAGTTTAAATCTGGTAAGATGGCATGCAGAAATTATAAAATAAAAAATATGAAACCATAATTTATGAAATAAAGAACAATTATGATCTAAAGGGTATCAAAATTTACACACACACACACACACACAAAAAAAAAAAAAAAAAAAAAAAAAGAGCTTAATATTTATTTGTTTACTTTATTAAACATTTCTTTCAATGTAAGTTGTTTAAGTTGCTTCGTTTTATGTGATAATACTTTCTCTTTAATTCTATAAACAGACATAATTTCTTGTTCAGTTACAAAGTTCCTCTGTTCAAGTCCAATAATTGCTGTGTTGAGAATACCGACTAATTTGTCAATTGAAATTTTTTCATTTTCAATAACCTCTGTGTCACTTTCTTCACTATCAGAAGCAAGTTATAATGACAAGGAATTTTATTTAAATCATATCAAAGATGGAATACATCGAGATGAAATACTACATTTAGTAAGGAATTATAAGCCAAATAAAATGAAAACATCTGCCCTGAAGATAAGGATAGTGCTGACAGATCAACTTCCAATTCATTGCCCCCCCCCGCTCCCTCCGCAGAGCAGCGTGAAATTGATAAACAGATTTCGGAATGGTTAGGTCATTTTTTGCAGCAATTCCACTTTTGTTTAATGGACTTCGAAACATACTTTCGGTTTGTAGATCCCTTACATATTAGTAAATATATATCGGAAATTCTATTTGACATAATCGAAAGTTCAAGCTTACTTTTATAAAATTGCTCTAACAGTCTGCAAAAAATAATAAGCCGGATCGAATTCGAAGATTAAGGAACAATGCAATCTGCAACATTAACTGAATTAGATAATTTTAGCTTAGCTTAAACCATCCGTTATACATTAAACGCGCATGCGTAAACGTATTTTGCGCATGCGCACATGCATATTCGCAGCTGTAGTCTTACGTCAACGTGATGCATGCGCAGAAAGTTTGTAGCTTTGAGGTTCGGATTATAGATCATTTCGGATTATGGGTGTCCGAATTAATTACTTTTGACTGTAGTGCTTTTTTACCAAATGTTTTAAAAAATAAATAAAATTTAATAGTGGTCATGTAAATCTATAATGATTAAGAGTATTTAATTACCTAATTTATTTATTTGTAACTAACCACTTACCTTTAAAAGTTATCTTTGCATATTAAAGCAAGTTATTGCCTTTCATTAATCATTACTGTGGTTACAAAATACAGCACAAAAATGTAAAAATTAATGTCAAGCTTATTCTTTGATTCTAGTGAGACTTAAAATAATGCAAAACAACTTATCACCTTTGGTGCAATAATGGCGTATTGGAACATTAAAATATACAATTATTGTATTAACTAGGTTACAATCTCAAGAACTCTACATGAAGCTATAACACTAACTGCATCAGACGAATGGAGCGCAACAACTTTCAAAACTTGCCAACCTCAAAACTACATTAGGCTTTCAGGTTTCTTCTGATCAACAGATCCCTCTCTAGGCAAGAGGCAGCACTGGCAACACCCAATCTTCTGTTACAAATCATGCTGATTATGATTTTATTTCTCATTTTAACCTATGCCATTTGACATAAAATCCACCTGCTATTTACTAAACCTCTATGTTCGGTGTGTGGCAAAATGAGACATAAAAGAAAAAATCAACACAAAGCTGTTAGTAAATAGTAAATAAAATGTCCCTAATCTTCTTTCAAATACATCCAACTATTATAATTGTAAAATATTTAATGCTACCTGATAAATTTTATAAAGGGGATTTTATTCTCAAATTTGTTTTATAGTTATGTATTAAATTATGTTTAGTAAAAATGCATCCTACTTATGGATTTATTTTATTCTTAGAGTGTTATTACAAAAACAGAGTTCAGACATAAGTTGATTGAATTTAATTTGAATTTTTTCAGCTCCCTTTTGCTGATAGTTCCTTAATTTTTTCATTAATTGTCCTTAAAAGTCCTTAATTTCCATGTGCAGAAATGTGCGAATCCTGTGTTAGGTATTTCAGAAGGTGGATTAAGTACAGTAGAGCTGTTGCTAGGCCTCCATGCTTATTTGGACCTCTTCTTTTGGTTGCAGTTTAAACATTTCATTTATGAGATGCCTGTGGGGAGATTGCTGAATTGCATGGTGCAGATCATCGTTTCTGCGGTCATTGTTTAAAACAATTCTAATAATTTCTTTTTGTGATCTGTCTCGCATTGTACTGCATGCCACTGGTTGCTGCGAAATAATATGCTTATTGTAATTTGTTTGGCCCCTATTCAACATCAAACCCTGCTAAATTATTTTCATGATTTTCACCAACTAAGCATGGCTTCCATTGCCTACTGTTACTATATCACCATATTTAATATAATATATTCTGTATATGTAGATAGTTTTAGGTGTGATGGTTTATATGATGTGGTGATACATAGTACTGGAACACAAATTATTTTTTGTCAATAAAATAAAGTCACAGATTTCCAGATCTTCTTTATTTAAATGCAATAACAGTAATAAAAAAATTCAAATACCTAGATAAGCACACTTGCTTATAATGTCAAGCATCCAATTTACTTCTTTAGTGCATTATAGCTAATTAAAAAAAGGGGGGATAGGAGGCAACAGATTATGTATTCTTTAGGAGAAGGTAGGCAGTAAAAGAAGAAAGTTTCTGATATTGTGATAGACTTAAAACTCATGAAGTTGCTTTATTCTCAATAGAGGAATAGAGAATCTCTTTATTGTTAACAGTTATTAAAAGTTTGTATGCTATTGTTACTGGATAAATGATTTTACTTTCATTTTTACTATTATGCAAGGATCTGCATGGTTATAAGACAGATTAATTTTGTAAAAATGCACTTCAGAAAGATAGAAATAGATGTTTTTTATTTTTATACATAACCATGCAATTTATGATTACTGCAAAACAACTTCTAAATTTAATTTTATTTTTATTTTAGGTTCAGCATTACATTTCTCAGACGAAAGCTGATAATCATGCTGTACGAGAAGCAGCTTGTGCATGCATAGCTGAGTTGGCTTCAAAGGTATGATGTTGATCACTATGCCATATCAATTACTGTAGCTATTTTTAACTGTAGAAATGCTGTACATATAATTTTCAAACCAAATGCAATGAAAGGTTTATATCATATGAGGTTAAAAAAAACTGTTACGAAATTTTTCTAGTTTATAGGTTGAATTCTTTCTAGTTTATCGGTAAAGAATGCTGAGAAAATAAAAATTTCCATATTTATAGTTGAATTGCATTTCTCTTTCCGTATGTTATCAAGGCTTAATATATTATATTATTGCATATTATAAAGTTTATAAATCATTAAAAAGGTAACTTTTTTATTTTATACTACTATTAAATTTTCTGAAAAGTGGTCTTTGTTGGTAAAATGCCTCTTAATGGCTTTTGCTCTTAGGTTGATCAAGCAGCTACAAAGCCATATGTATCTCAGTTGTTACAAACTCTTCTTGATTGCTTTAGCGATGACAGTTGGCCAGTGAGAGATGGTATGTTCACAGTTGATTTTTTTTTTTTTTTTTTTTTAGTTGTAATTTATGAAACAGAACATGCATCGTGTTATATTTGTAAGAAAGTATTAAACACTGTATTAGTAGAGGGCTAAAAATCCACCAACTAAAGTCTGCTAAAACCTAAATTCCAAGTATCCTTTCAGATGTCGGTAGTAAAATGCTGTTGGCTTTGATGATTTTTGATTATATCTTGCTTTTGTAATTGTTGCCAAATAAATATTTTGCCCAAAATCACTAAATCTATAACTGAAAATTAATATTTTAATTAATTGATAGGCATTATTGTAGTCTTACTATAATATGTTTGCTCCAAAGCATGTGCAAACATGCCAAAAAACATTAATTTTATGCCACAGAGAGTGCTAATGTTTTCGACACAACATGTTTTGTATTAGAGAATTTTTCATGCAACATTTTGAAAAATTAACTGAATTGAATTCAACATTTTGCAAGTGCTAAATGATGAAAAATCTGCCATTAAACTCATACAGGAAAAGAAATTTTCCTCATGGAAGACTTTGTTCAAATAACAATTGCTATATGTTTGAGAGGCAATATTATCTATCTTGAATGTCATTAAGATTGTCATTACTATTCCAGATTTCATTTCACATTGGTGACAACTGGTCCCTCTTTATGAAAAAAGTATTCAAATTTTTAACTTATGATGAATATATGATCAGAACATACATGATATATATGATTAGGACATAGAAGTTTTGTCATTACAAAAATGTAAGTTCTAAATAAACTCACAATTTTCCTATGAATAGTGAAGGATTTAGAATAACAAAGCCATCTGATTGTTTTAGAAATGATGAGGAGAAAGATTATACTCCCTTTATCTAGAACATTCTGAAGTTTTAAAACAAACGACTGTAAATAGATGTTCAAAAATGTAAAAAATAATTTTTATATGCTTTTTATCTTTTCTTTTATATAAAATTGTAATACATTTAATATATATTTTGCTAGGAAAAAATAAGAAAGGAATTAGTTGCTTCTATGTGCTTTTTATGAATTTGTTTTTACTTCTTTTTTTTTGGGGGGGGGGGGTGTAAATTTAATGGTTTTCATTTATGACCAGAAATCCTTAAAAACTCTAAATTCTACCCTTCTGAAGTTTCAAGCTATGAAGTTTTTGGTATTTTACTATACAGAATTAATTTTTAACAAATAAAAAAAAAAAGTTTTGTAATCAGAATTACAATTTTTAACATTTATGATGTGTAAGACTCAGTAAATAGAGTAATAATTTCAGTGACATTGAAAACAAGATGCATTGCAAAATCTGCTTAATCAAATAATCACTCTTAATATGTGATCACCATTCAAATATTGTATTCAATTTCGTAAAGTTATATTTATATGTATTGAATAACATAGAGAATCCATCATTTATTGTAATCACTAAATCATTGAACTCGATCAAAATGCTACACAGGATAATATTTTTCAATCTGAATCAAATAAGGGAGGAAGCCATCAAATGCATCAACGACACCAGCAAATTTTAATCAATAGATTTTGAAATGGATACTGAACTGGAAGATAATGGTTGACTTCCTGAGTGACAGTGGCATGGTGCACAGTGTCCATCTGAATAATACTGGAATTGAAACATAGAGAACATTCCAAGGAATTAAATATTAAAGCAACTAAGAATACGCAACATTAATCTCATTACAGTGGTTTTTTGTGCTTATTCTTAGATGATTTAACATTTACTGAAGTTATGTTTCAGTCCTAATTCCCACTCCACAGTCAGCATATTATTTATGAGGTTATTGGAGTGTCATTGCTGCAAGATGAGAGTTGGAATCTTTCATTACATGAAAGGTATAGATGTAAATGCAAACGATTTCAGTGAAAATTTTCTTTTAATTAAATTTTTGATTTCAATCAACCATTCAAAATAAAAATAAAAAAATAAATAAATAAATAAATAAACCTTAATTTGATGTAAAATTTGAATAACTCAGTTAATTTTGAGGGCAAACGGACACGTCTCTCTTTATTATGAGCAACAGAAATTTTTGCAAAATTCCCTAAAAATATCTATAGCAAGTTAAGTTTGCTTTTCCCCTAGTTTTAAATTTTACATTGGCACGTTATTGTCTATGTTATGAGGGATGTCTTTAGAGTGTTCGAGGTATGACATTGGTTAAATAGTTTTGAGTAATGTTACGAACTGTTCATAGTTCAAACTTTTCATTTTTCTAATTAAAATGCTGTGAAAGTTCCTATTTATATGCTTCTAATTCCATTTATATTTTGAAGGATATTTTTTTTTCATTCTTTAATGTTACCATTCAGTTAACGTTATTAAAATAGCCATGCACAAACATGATCACATTAAGCAGCATCTGCTGTAGTTAAAAATAATGAAGTAAGTTATATCAAGCCAAACAGTTATCAGGAATCACTGGATGAAAAGAGTGCAAGCCAGGCACAGTACAAAGTCTTTAATCCAGACTCGTTGGGACTTTGGCGATTCCAGATTAGGGGTTTTTCTGGATTATAAATTATCAATTTAAATCTGGTAAGATGGCATGCAGAAATTATAAAATTAAAAATATGAAACCGTAATTTATGAAATAAAGAGCAGTTATGATATAAAAGGTATCAAAATTTACAAAAAAAAAAAAAAAAAAAAAAAAAAAACCTTAATATTTATTTGTTTACTTTATTAAACACTTTTTTCAATGTAAGTTGTTTAAGTTGCTTCGTTTTATGTGCTAATACTTTCTCTTTAATTCTATAAACAGACATAATTTCTTGTTCAGTTACAAAATTCCGCTGTTCAAGTCCTGCAATTACTGTGCCGAGAATACCGACTAACTTGTCAATTGAAATTTTTTTGTTTTCACTAACCTCTCTGTCACTTTTTTCATGCTTTTATCCATTTTGCAGCAATTCCACTTTTTGTTTTATGGACATCGAAACATGCTTTCGCTTTGTAGATCCTTTGGCAGCTCCAGGATCGGAAAATCTTTTAGACATAATTGAAAGTTCAAGCTTACTTTTTATAAAATTGCTCTAACAGTCTGCAAAAAATAATAAGCCGGATCCAATTAGAAGATTAAGGAAGCAATCTGCAAAATTAACTGAAATAGATAATTAGATAATTTTAGCCTAGCTTATACCATCCGTTATACATTAAACGCGCATGCGTAGCGTACGCATGCGCAGAAAGTTTGTAGCTTTGAGGTCCGGATAATAGATCATTCTGGATTATGGACGTCCAGATTAAAGACTTTGTACTGTATTTTGTTTATAATAAATGCATTTACAGATGCTGTTCACACATTTTTTAGATGATTTTGCTTTGCTGTAAAAAAAAAATAAAAAGTAAAAAAAAATCTGCTTGGATTTTTTTTAAGCGTACGCATGCGCAGAAAGTTTGTAGCTTTGAGGTCCGGATTATAGATCATTCTGGATTATGGACGTCCAGATTAAAGACTTTGTACTGTATTTTGTTTATAATAAATGCATTTGCAGATGCTGTTCACACATTTTTTAGATGATTTTGCTTTGCTGTAAAAAAAATAATAATAATAAAAAAATCTGCTTGGATTTTTTTTAACTGCAACTATATTTTTGAAAGTATAAATTATTGTCTGCTATTTGACATCTTTGTTTTCATGCAAAATGTAACTTTTAAAAAAACGATGGAACGCGCTTATAAAGTGTTTAAAACATAAAAAAACGCCAACTTAAAAAATGGAAGACTATGTTTGTGTTTTTTTCAAAGAAAGTTATTCGTATCTATTTATTGAAAAACATTGTGAATGTCTTTTTTTTTTTGTTATATAAAGCTTCAATAGGTAATGTTGTCAACAACAAAGGGAAGAAACATCAAAATTTAACTTCAAGTGGAAACATTGTTCTAAATATATATCCAACAAAAGAATGGAATGTTGCAAATGTTGCAAAACTAGTTAAAAGAAAATCCACCAAGTTAAAGGAAGTTGCAAAATCGTTAAAGTGTTCAGTGTCAACTGTAAACAAAGTGATTAATGCTGATTTAAATCTTAAAAAGGCAAAAAAGCATAATGTGCATTGTCTTTCTCCATCACATATTGCCAAATGCAGAACATGCTGCGGAATTCTTTATGAGAAACATTTATCTGGACAAAAGTGGGAAAACGGTTGTCACAATAGATGAATCTTCGATGTACAGGTTGTCCTCCTGTAACAAGGTTTCGCTATAACATGATTCATAAATTGCAAAAACCCTCCTACAGCACAGTTTTCCTATAACACGGTTTTGCTTTAACATGATAAGAAAATTGCCCAAGCAATCAAAGAAATTTAACGAACTCCTCGTAAAGTTTTTCCATATTGTGCAATGTATCCATATAGTCATTTAACACATATGAACTCTTGTTTCGTAAGTTCTGTCACTTGTCTTCCACTACCCGTACGAGCAATAGTCCACCGATGAACAAATGTCCTTAGATGACCCGTATGAACAAATGTTCCCAGATAACAAGGAAGAAACCTGACTATCACAAAAGATGAACAACAAGAGGTCACAATAAGTGCTCGAAAACACATAAGCTGCATGTTTGGCTTCCAAAATTCGAATCCTCGTCTCCATGGCCTGAAAGCGAAAGTGTCTTACGCTGCTGGTCGGCAGTCTGCATTGAGCCACGGTGTGTTAAATAATAACTTTTTCATCTTTAAGACATTAAGTTTCAGTCCCCAAACATGTCCGATAAAGATAAAATACAGTGTTTAAGAGGAAATTAATTTCTTTAGAAGTACTGATACAAATCCTGGACCGTCTTTTAAAAGGAGAAAGGGCATCTCACATTGGAAAAATTTTAATTGGAATGAAGAAACAGTCAGAACAGTTTATTAAGAAAAATGAAAGAGAAATAAGAAGTGCACTTGCTGCAGGATCTTCGACATCCGCAAAACGTGCAGTTTGCCCCCCCCCCCCCCGGTGCCAATAATTGAGAAGATGGAAAAGGCATTGAGCATTTAGTTTGATGATAGCTGTCATAAAGGAATTTCATTGTCAAAAAGGAATATTATTAAAAAAAAAAAAAAAATTCAAGCACCTCGAGGAACATGGAACTCTCTGTCAACACAGATTTTCTGGTAAGTAAAGGTTGGTTGGAAAATTTAAAAAATCATTTTGCAATTCATAGCATAAGAATTCAAGGAGAATTTACATGGGCTGATTATGAAGTTGCTAGGATGTTTCCTGAAAAAATTTCAAAATATTAATAGAAGAACAAGGATACACAGCAGTTCAAATTTTTGATGCCAACAAAACTGGGCTTTGGTGGAAAAAAATGCCCAGTAAAACCTTTATATCCAAAAAGAAAAAAAAAAAAAAAAAAAAAAAGAAACTGCATCCTGATTTAAGGTGTCTAAAAACTGTCTAATGCCACTTTAGTGCAGTATGACTTTGAACAAAACCCTTGTTAGTTTATAAATCTTTAAATCCTTGTGCACTTAAAGGTGTAAATAAAAACACCTTACCAGTATATTGGAAAGCAAATCCAAGAGCTTGGATAACTGAGAATATAGTATTTAAAGATTGGTTTTTAAATTGTTTTGTGCCAGATGCTAAACGTTATTTAAGGCAGAAAAATTTGAGCTTCAAGGCGTTTAATACTATTAGATAATGCTTCATGTCACTCACAAGATTTGAATCATCCCAATGTCAAAGTACTGTTGCTACCATCTAACACTACTTCGTTACTCCAACCATTGGATCAAAGTATTATTTATACTTTTAAAACATATTACATAAGAAGAGCATTACAGTAGATTTTAGACATAATCAATTCAAAATCAATTAATGTAATGGAAGCTTGGAAGACGTTTTCAGTCAAGAACTGAATCGACATCATATCTTTACGCTGAAAGAACTGAAAGCATTAGCGTTAAATGCATGTTAGAAGAAGATATGATATTGGTGGCATATTAGAAGTTGCTAAATCAATCAAAGGTGAAAATTTTGTGAACATGGCTATTGAGGATGGTCAAGATTCAAGATTGATTAGCGGAAGAAGAGGATTTGGTAGAAATGGCATTCAAAGCTGTAAACTAAATCGCGTCTGAGGACACTACCACTGATGAAGATTGTGAAGTTAATAATTTAACATTAAAAATATTAAAAGAAGGCCTATGCTTAGCTGAAAATCTCAAGTTATTTTTTTTTAGTGCAGACCTTTCTGCTAAAATAAGCCGAAAATTCAAAAGGAAGCTGCAAAAGTGTCCAGCTTTATATCGAAAAATTTAAAATGACCTGGTAAGAACTAGTAAGCACATTACTAAAATTACAGATTTTTTAAAGAGGGAAGAAAATGCTAGAACTTTAAATAAAGAAAGAAATTTTGAAAGTGAAAGCGATCTCATTCCGCCGAAAAAACACTCTGTTGATTATACTACGCAATGACAATGAAGAAATTGATCAAACTAAAGTTGCATTAAATTAAAATATGTAATACTTTTTGTTTTGTCTTGTACATGCATATATATTTTTAATAAAAATTAAGTTGTTTATGCATAATTTTAAAATAAATTATATTATTTTTTTAATAAGTTTTCGGAACGTAGCCTCCTTTTTATACTGGCTCTGGTTCTCATACAACACGGTTTCACACAACATGGCATTTTCTAGGAATCTATCTACCATGTTTTACGAGGTTTACCTGTACTTAAATGACTGCAATAAAAATATATCGATTTATTATCAAAGCGAAGAAAAAAATCTTAGAATGTGGTTCAAGGAATCTAAAGAATGTTTTTCTAAAGGATTTATGATTGTTGTTGGCTTTTTATATAGCAGCGAATTAAAAATGAAGAGAGTGGAGAAAAATGTTAGGATCAACTTCACATATTATCCAAAACATATTTTATACCCAATTTTCAAATATGAAATACCTTCTCTTTACACACAGTGTGATCAATCAGTAGGAACAGCATTAAGACAAAGCAAGCAGTGACATGTCAAAATCTACTGTTAATTTCCTGGAAAAAAATGGAATAAGAAATGCATATCAAGGCCATATCCTTGAGTCATATCCCTACTAAACCTCCTGTCCTATCACCAATGTATTTTTGCCCTTTTGGACTTTTAAAAAGCAGGGTGTCCAAACGTCAACCTACAATCTCCATAGACTTTTGAAAGCTGTTCGAGAGCAATGGGATAAAATACGAGGGTTGGTACTTTAATAGTGGCAACTATTTATTTACAAGGAATACAAAAGTGATTCATGTCACCATGTTTTACAGTCCTTCAATATAGTCGCTAGCATTGTGTACAACTCGTTTCCAACGATGTGGAAGTCGCAGAATACCTGTAGCAGCGCCTGTTTTGTTGATAGTTTGAATGGATCGGTCTACTGCCGCAAGAATCTCAGGAACAGTTTGGAAGCGAGTGCCACGAAGTGGTTCCTTCATCTGGGGAGTATAGTCACAAGGGCTTAGATCTGGGGAGTATGGTGGATGGCAAAGCACTTCCTAGGCCCATCGCTTGAACAAATCAGTCACCGCTTGCGCTGCATGCGGCCGAACATTGTCATGCAAAATGAGAGGAGCGTTCTGCAGGAAGTGTCGCCGTTTTTTTCTCAAAGCTGGTCGGAGATTGTGCTCCAAAAATGAGCAGTAATACTGCGCAGTGACGGTCTGCTGTGGGCGAACGGTATGCGTTAGGATGACACCATCACAGTCGTACACGAGAATCACCATAACTTTCACATTGTTGGGGTTCTGACGAAATTTCGAACGTCGTGGTGACCCGTGATGACACCATTCGTTTGATTGGCGTTTCAGTTCTGACTGGTACGTTCAGGCCCAAGTCTCATCCAGCATAATGATACGGCGTAAAAAACCATCTCCTTCGTGCTCATAGCGCTCCACGTGAATTCGGGCAGCATCGTATCGTAGCCATTTCTGCATTTCCGTCAATTGATGGGGAACCAATCGTGAGGCAATTTTTCTCATGGACAGGCGTTCCTTCAGAATGTGCAGCACAGTCGTATGCACTAATCCTGTTTGCGGCCAGCTGACGAATCGTTTGGCGCCGATCACTGTCCATTAGTGCGGCAACAGCTTGCATGTCTGCATCACTGACACTCGGACGACCTGGCCGCAGCATGTCTGCCACGTTTTGGCGTCCTTCATTGAATGCTTTCACCCATCTTGCTACGGTTCTGTAAGGCAATGCAGATTCCCCGCAAGCCTCTTGAAGCCCTTGATGACACTGTCGTGCTGTACGACCTCTGGCACATTCAATTTTTATCCAACATCGTTGTTCTTGTTTTGAAAACATCCTGACAACACTTACTTTAGACCGTGAGCTATTACAAGGATCCGTTCTTCGCGTCACTCCGCCTGCGCGTGACGTAGGCAGGACGAGTCTTTTTGCTGAGAGGTAAGGTAGGTATGTAGTTTGCGTGTGGTACATTCTTTGGTTTTGTTGCGTAGTGTTTTTTCAGCTGTGTTGCCACTATTAAATTTCCAACCCTCGTACTTTTTCTGCTACTACAAAATATACTGGATATTACTGTGGATAGACAGCAAAAAATAAAGCTTATCAAACAAAGCATTTAAAACAAAAATTTTAGGTAAAATATTTCTGTAATTACAATGAAAATCGTCTGAAAAATATGTGAACAGCCTCTGTAGGATAATACTTTTTTTTAGAGTAATATTTTAAGCATTGTGACTGAGAAGCATTGTTTCATAATGGTGAAATAAGAAATTAAACTAATTCAAAGTAAGTTTTTTGGCATGTAACATGACCATTTACATAATTTTGGAAGTGGGTTCACCCCCAGAAATTTAGCATTAACAAGCTAGACACCTGGCTCTTGGCAGAAGTTTCACCATTCATTAATGATTTAAAATTGTTTCTCAAGTCGCATAAAAGATGCATTAAATGAGAGGGAATCATCTGTCATTGATAACTGAATTGTAGGTGGAGTAAAGCTGATTTTGCTTGCTGTGGCAGGTATTTATTCGGAGACTCAATATGAAGGAAAAATTACTTGCTTATGCTTACTTTTCAAGAAAGTGTGCAAGCTCATCAATGGATATGTTATGGGTTGAGTTCTGCTATCACTATTTACTTAGTATTAATTTTTTGCTGCAGAATGGAACTGGATGATTTGTTAACTAATAAAAAGTGGGTCTTGTGCAGCAATCCCCGAAAACTGTCTCATTAGTTATCATCCATTGACATTATAGCATAGACCTTAATCCTTAATGTCTGTCAGCAAAAAAATTGTTTTGTGTATGATCAAATGCAGCTAGAATTATTTTATAGACATAGAAATATGTCATAGAAATTTTACTCTTTAAGCTTTTAATATGCAGAATTTTTCAATGGTATTATTATTTTTTTCTTCTTTCAGCTGCTTGTCTGGCATGTGGAAATTTTGTTCTTTGCTTTGCTGCTGAGTCTAAGTAAGTGAGTTAATGTTTTCATTACTGGACATCAAATATCAGGTTTTAAGGAAAGTTTCCCACCATCGCAAATATCGTCTCTGCAAACAGTTCTCGTTAACTTGTTTAATCATATTTTTTCAAATGATTTTTGGTATTTGAAAGAAAGAGACTTGCTTTAGAACACTGTGTTGTGAAATTTGTAAAAAAAAAATATCATATCATTAAGTACAAGCTGGCTAAAGTGGAACTGTTACGCTACCATATTAGAACCATCATTTACTTCCAGTTCTGTTGCAAAAAGTCACTTACAGAATGTCACCAAATCATGTGTACAGCTTTAGGTACAAATGTTATATCATATGATACTGTGAAGGTTTGGTACCGAAAGTTCAAAAACAAGGACTATGACATTCAAGAGTGCTGTGGCGCTAGTGGCCAGAGAGAGTGCTGTGGCCGGCCTAGTGATGTTAATGTGGCCTGCCTGTGAGAACTTGTGGAAGAAGATCAGTATGCAAACACTAAAGAGCTTGCTAAGGAATTAGATGTTAGTGCTATGTTCATTAGTTAACCCTATGCATTGCATAAACATAACATACAAATTAAAATGCTGGGTGCCACATGAGCTGACTCAAGCAGATAAGGACAAATGTGTTCATGCCTGTGCTAGTCTGCTCCAATATCAGCACAAGGACAAAATTCTGGACTGGATCGACACTTGTGATGAAAACTGGATTTACTTCAGGTGGAAAAGGGTGTTGGTCTGCACCCGGTGAGTCGTTGGCAGCTTCGCAAAGCACAATTTGACTAACAAAAAGATTATGCTTTGTATCTGGTGAGATTTCCATGGTATTATCCTTTAAGAGTATCTGGAAAAAGATAAAACCCTCGACAGTAAGATGTACAGTGAGATGCTAGTCTGTGTTGCTGAATGTTGAACTTAATTCTGGCACAAAAAAGTAATGTTCCATCAAGATAATGCTAGACCACATGTGTCTGCATTCATCAGCTAGACTATGTATGGCCTCGAATGCAATCTTTCGTCACACTTACCACATAGCTCTAACGTTTCTCCTTCGAACTTCTACTTTCTTTCTCATCTGCAGCTATATCTTGCTGGTGCTATCTTCCATTCTGTGGGGGACATTCAAAATGAGGTTGCTCTATTTTGGGGCTCTCGGCCACCAAGTTTCTTTGCCAAACGCTTTGAAAACTACCAAAACGTTGGCAGCAAATCATAGATTTGGGTGGTGATTACTACCCACACTACTAAAAGTACTGCTTTTATGTTTTCCCCCCTAACTTTATTAAGAAAAACGTTTTTTTTTTTTTTTTGGTGGCAAACTTTTGTTACAACCAGATACATTTTTTCACATAGTATAGAATTTCATAAGTACAAATGTAGTTTGTTTATAAAAACAAAATGTGAACTTGTAAAATTATATGAGCTTTTCAATAATTGAGTTTTCAAAAGAAAATGTAAAATACTTACTATTAAATTTAAAAGAAATATTTATTATAAGCATATGTCATTTTAAAATTATTAATAATGTTCTGAGTAACAAGTAATAGTTCAGAATTGTATAATTCCAAAAGTCAAAAAAGTAGTTTTTCCTATGTTAATCCTTTTGCTCTGATTCTGTTGTTACTTATAACAGTGTTGCATGCACATATATAAAATTTCATTTGATTCTGATAAATCATTCTTCGTGTGCAAATTTTTAAGCCAGTGATCATATATATTTAAAATATAATATTTTGGTCATCATATCAATATTATTTGCTAATTAATTATTCACTTTAATTTTAGGGGTGTTTTGGACAAATTGTATCCTTTGTTTTTTACAAATCTTAAAGATGGAATACCATCTGTTCGTCAGGGAGCCTCAGGAGCTCTAGCAAATGTTGTTAAAGCATATGGTAAGTTGTTGTGCTTTAAATACTTATATTATTTTTTGTTTCTCAAAATTGTATATTCAACATAATTTTGTCTTATTAAATTAAAAGCTAGACATAACAATTTAAGGATAAACTTTGTGTTTTTATCATTGTAATCTTTCAATGATTTCTAAAAGAATATGAAAAACAGAAGGAAATACTTTGAAATTAAACTTAATACCTACAAATGCTAACTGTTTAAGCTAAGCCTTATAATTTAATTGTCTTCGAGGATTGGATGCTTACTTGGGTTAAAGGCTCGAAACTCTTCTGACTAAATATTAAGATTAGTCTACGTTAGCTGAAGTTAATAGTAGAGTCATATGTTCATAATATAAAGTCACAAAAAGCACTGATAAAATTTAACTTCATTAATTGTAAACTTGTTATTAAAATTAATATTAAATTGTGTATTTTTATTTGTACAAAAAGTTGATTACAATACTAGTTTACAATATTTTTAAATAAGTAGTAATAATAAAAATTACATGTTAGAGATCAATTTAAACATCACAAAAGTAAAGTATCCTTCAGTTAAATATTCTTTGTTTTTTTACAACTGCTCAGATTGATTGCATTTCTTTTGTGTGAGTATTTTATCAAAGTTTGATGTCACATGTAAAGTAGCTGGAATTTTTTTTCGCTTATGTTAAATATTTTCTCAATTTTTAAACTCAGTTTTATGGTTTTTATTTTTGTTCATTGTGTTGAGACAAACATTATTGCAATAAATACTGTAAGTAAAACTATTGTAAAAGGTTTTGTATTGTAACAAGTTTCATTCCATACAAACAACCTGAATGCTACATAAAATACTGTCTCATTCATGCACAATATCAATTTAACCACGGGGAAGAAATTGTTATTTAGAATTGCTTTAGATTGATATTGGTGCTACCAAAACATATAAAAGCTTTCATACTGAAAAAGATAGTAATGTGAGCACTTGCATACAACTCGCTTTTCAAGAGACCTGCTTGCTTCTTCCCCGTGATTTGTTTGAAATATGGTTCTAGGAGTTGACAACAAAAAGAAGTTGGAGTTCTGACTATTAAAAGGTTGCATTGGTTTGGTATCTGAAAATGAAATGTATATTATCAGTTTCTAGTATAAATAATTAATATGTAATTAATCAAAATAATACATATTCTAAGTCATGCTTTTGAGATATGAATACTCGGTATCTTACTATCTTTGTAAAGCAAGGCGGCTTACAGATCCATTTTTTTTTAACATTTCAGTTTTTTATTTCTTGCTTTCTAGTTGGCAAACTGTTGAAGAAGCAAGATTGTGATACTAATTGCATGAATCTAAAAGTGCTCATTCTTAGAGAATATTTAGATTAATAGTTGGGGGAAAATCACTTTCATTCTTATTTATCCAAGCTGTTGATTTGCATTTATTTTGCAGGGCATGTTTTAGGTAGCCTTGTTGTGAGGTATGTAATTGTATTGTAAGGTATATAAACGTACTGGAAAGTTGTGATAAGTACTAAATGATTATAAAATTCTCCAGTGCTGCACTTAACTTGGGAATATTTAAACGTTTGGCTGATTGGAAGGAATAAGCATACTAGATATTAAAAGTTTTAATCAAATGTTTGTTTAAGTATCTGTGTTGAAGAAAATTTGTTATCTCTGTTCTGCCACTGTTAGAATTCAACCTTAGTTGTTATCTTTCTTTCATAGTTTGTAACTGTAAGAGTGGCAACCATCTGATCTTTGTTGTAGTTTGTTGTAGTTGTATGGATTTTGAAAATAAAATATGATGCTGTGGAATATTAGATGTAAAGTTATTTTATTTAAAGTTTATTAGGAGAAAGGAGAACAGTTAGTTCTTGCAAATCGCGATCAAATTTGGTGACGACGGAAGTGATCGGTAAAACAAATCAAGGTAATTTTATTGATTTTATCGAATTTAATTTTATTTGACTTTATATTGAATTTATTTTTATTGAAATTGAATCGTTAATTGAGAAATGAAAACCTGTCAGAGCGTCTTTATGAAAAAATTAATACAATTGTGCAGGAATTGGAAAAGGAAATTCCTGATGAAAAATCTGTGAAAACAAAACTTGTTACTTTAGAACATTTATCTGTTGAACTTAATGCATTTGATACTCAAATATTAAATTCAGAATTTTCTTCAAATGATTAGTTTGAAAATGAATGGGCGAAAGTTGAAAAATACAAATTAAAATTAGATTTAATACGAGTAGAAATGGAATTATTCTTCAATCGCCAAACTTCACAATCCATTGGCAATGTGCCACCGAATTCGAACAAATGGAAACTGAAATTACCTAAAATAGAGTTAAAGCAATTTGGTGGCGAAATTAAAGATTAGTTACCGTTTTGGGGATTAATTTCAGCAAATACATGACGGTAAAGGAATTCAAAACGAGTATTAGCTGCATTATCTCGTTCAAGTGACTGTACCTGGTACAAGACCATGTGATATTGTAAATAGCTTCCCTGTAACTGCCTAAAATTATGGAAAAGTTATAGAAAGTTTAAAAAGTAGGTTCAGCAGGGAAGAATTGTTAGTAGAATTCTATATTCGGAAATTATTAGGTTTGATTATTAAAAATGTCACTTATCAAAAGGGAAAATGCAGTATATCAGAATTGTATGACAAGTTAGAGTCATATTTACGTTCGTTGGAGTCAATAGGAATGACAAGTGACAAATACGTTGCATTCTGCTCATTGAATCTTGCTTTCCCGAGGAAATTTTACGAGTTCGGCTTAGAAATCATGCATCAGTAATTACAGCAGAAAATTCTCATTCTAAGAAATTGAAACAATTATTAATTATTATTGTTTTAAAAGAATGAAGTGGAAGGAGAGCAAAGAATTTCTTTGGCAAAAGCTGGATTTAAATTAATTGATTTGGGTGCAAAGAAAGAAAGTCGAGGAGATAAAAGGTACCAGGGTGAACATTTCGTGCCTACAGCGAATGATTTAATCTCAGGCTGTAATAAAGCAACCAATTATAGTGAAAAGAATTCTTGCATGTTTTGTGAAAAAAATCATGAAAGTGGAGATTGCTTTGTTGCTCAGAAGTTGCCTCGGAGTCAAAAGAATGATGAAATTAAGAAAAAGAAGGGTTGCTTCTTCTGCCTCAAAATTGGACACAGGGCCAAGCAATGCAAGACAAATGTACAATGTTTGATATGCTCAAAAAGACATTGGGGTGTTGTGTCCGGATTTGCCCACCAATCAAAAGAGCAATGATGTTGAAAAGAATAAAGAAGAGAAAACACAAAACGTATCACTTGGAAACAGCAATTTCGTAGATGAAGTGTTTCTTCAAACACTATTAATTAATATGGATGCAAACAAAAAAGAAGACAGTAAGGGCACTTATCGACACAGGATCGCAACGTTCATACATATTAAAGAAAACTGCTGTAGACATAGGGTGCCATGCAATTGATCTGAATCTTTAATTCATGCATTTTTTGGAGGGGTAACAAAAAAGAGAGAAATTCACTAATGTTAGAAGCCTAAGAGGTGATTTTTCTAGACGACTGATTTTATTGGAACAGTTGAAGATTTGTGGACCAGTAATCAGTTTACAGCCTGGACCATGGATAGAAGAATTAAGGCAGAAAAATGTCCATGCATCTGATGTAGGAAAAAAAGGATTTGAAAATAGAAGTTCTTATTGGAGCTGACGTCGCAGGTGCTTTGTTAACTGGAAGAATTCAGAAATTAGAAAATGGGCTGACTGCCATGGAATCACTATTTGGATGGACAATCATGGGAAAGATAAAAGTTTTCAGAAAGTTTCAGAAAGAAACTCCTTGTTCATGTCATCAACAATAACATCGATTCTGACTCGCAGCAATTGACATAGAAAACTTGTGGAAGCTAAAAGCACTGGGAATTACAGATGCTAAAGAAAATAAAACTGATTCAGAGTTAGAAGAAGCAGTGTGGGATCACTTTCACAAGACTCTGAAGAGGGTGGATGATCACTGTGAAGTCAGTTTACCTTGAATCAACAATAAAGAAGCTTTACGAAGTAACAGAGAAGTTGCTGAAAAACGATTGATTTCCACGACAAAGAGTGGCTCCTATCTGGAGTAACAGAAGAAGAGGAACGAGTTAACAATCATTATCTTTCCCCACAGACCGGTCTTCAAAGATAACTCTATAACAGCAGTAAGGCCTGTATTTGACACTTCATGCACGCAAAAAGGATTTCCTGTCACTTAACGACTTTAGCAAAAGGTCAAAATTTAATTGAATTAATACCTAGATTGCTTCTTGAATTTAGGCAAGGAAAAATAGAGATTATCTCATATATTAAAAGAGCTTTTCTTCAAATATCTGTTCAAAGATCTTATCATGATTTCTTAAAATTTCTATGGTGTAAAAACTCGGAACAAAAGGAAATAAGAAAATTTTGCCATTGCAGAGTAGTCTTCGGACTAAAATGCAGTTCGTTTCTTTTAGGAGCAGTGATTAATTCCAATTTAGACAAATGTGGACCTTCTTTGAAGGAAGTGGATACAAAATTGAAAAATTCCTTCTATGTAAACAACTGTGTCACTTAAGTGAATTCGAATGAAGAAGCAGAATACTGTATTGCAAAATCAACTCAGTTAATGGCAAGTGCTAACTTTGACTTAAGATGGTGGGAATAAATAGAACTGAGAAATGAAAAATCTACAATAGGCGAACCATTGAAACTACTTGGTGTTCTGTGGGATAAATATGAAGATTTTTTGTTTTGTGACATCCCTAGTTAGGAAACTAAATTGAGCTGGGATGCAGAGCTAGCTACCTGAAGATATCAAAAGAAAATTCTTGAAGAGGGTCATATCCTTTGTTATCATCTATGAAAATTCCCAGACTAGCTCCACTGACAGAAGGACAATCTTTTAGTTTGCATACGTTTGCCGATGCTTCACAGGGATCTTATGCAAGTGCAGTATATTTGAGAAATCAAAATAAAGAAGAAGTTAAAGTGATGATACTGCAAGCCAAAGCGTGAGTAGCTCCCTTGAAAAAATAACTATATCACGACTTGAATTGCTTGCTTGTCTTATTGGAGTGCGATTAGCCTCATTTGTCAAGAAGAAATCAAAATTCCAAAGGAATATTACTGGACCGATTCTTCAACAGCACTATTCTGGATAAAGAACATAGAAGTTTGGAGCACTTTTATGAATAACAGCGTTTCAGAAATTAGAATCCTATCGAACCGTGAAAATTGGCATCTTGTACCAGGTGGGGAAAACCCAGCCGATATGCCATCAAGAGGATGTTCTGTGAAGAAACTTATTAAATCAAGATGGTAGGAGGGCCCACCTTGATTGGCACTGCCGGAATAAAAATGGCCTCATTCTATCCCAATTGATAATAAAGAAGAGGTTAATACTGAAAAACGTAAAGCAGTTATAGTTTCGTTAAGCAATGTTAGCAATATGTCTTCACAATTCTTTGGCTATTTTTCAAAGTGTAAGAAAATACTTAGAATGATTGGGTGGATACTCATATTCATAGAAAATACCCGGAAGAAGAAAGAAGTAAGAGAAGCAGGAAAAAGTTTATTGCTTTTATTGAGCTGAGAAATCTAGCGTGAAGATTATTCAACATGATTCTTTTTCATCTGATGATATTAAGAAGCTAAAGTCACTAAGTGTGTTCAAAGATGATGAAGGCATTTTATGTGTCAAGTATAGGTTGACTGAAAGGAAAGACCATGAAAATTTTATTTATCCGATGTTACTTCCAAAGAATCATAAGACCGTGGAAAAACTGATAATTGATAAACATCTGTCTATGTCTCATGCAGGAATTTACATACTGATGTCAACACTTAGAGAGACGTTTTGGATCCTGAAAAGCAGAGGATTCGAAAAGCTTTATATGCATGTATCAGGTGCAGGAGACATGGAAGTAAATGACTACAGACTGTACCTACTACTCTACCAGAAAACAGAGTTAGAGATGCTCGTGTTTTCGAGATTGTCGGAGCTGTCCCATTAATTTTGAAGGATAAAAGAAAAGCTTGGATTTTACTTTTCATGTGTGCTGTTTTCAGGGCAGTTCATTTGGAACTGATTTTGTCCCTTTCAACTGAAGGATTTTTACTTAGTCTTAGAATATTTATTGCCCGTAGAGTTAGGCCATCAATAATTGATTTATAGTGACAAGGAAAGCAATTTTGTTGGATCCAATCTCTTGAGATTGATTAATTGGAATACCATCAAGATGGAAGCTGCCATAAAAAGATCGACTGGAAGTTCAGTCTAATCACAGCACCATGGTTGGGTGGCTTTTGGGAACGACTTGTTCAAATGATTAAGAAGCTTTTGCGTCGAGTTTCTAGGCCAGTCGTGTTTGAATTATGAAGAATCGCTGAGTGTGCTGTGCGACTGTGAAGCAACTGTGAATGCCAGACCACTCACTTATGTGTCAGAAATTTTAAATAAAAACTATCATTTTTTTGTAGGTATGCTTATAAATACATCTACTTATAAATAATGGTAAAAAATTTATAAAGTATAATTCAAAATTTTTTCGAAAAATTTATAAAAATTATTTAAAAATTCAAATTTAAAAAATAAATCAGAAAAAATGGGCAAATTATTTTTGGAATGAACCTAAATTTCAAAATAAGACTCAAATTAGTTTAATAAAAAAAGAGATATTAATAACTATATATCCTATTCAATTAACACTGAGGAGCTAAAACTTTGAGAGCTAATTTTTTGAAAACTACTTGTGTGATTTTTACAGAACTTGGCAGTTTGGCATAATTTGAGTTGTAGAATCGAAATATGGAAAAAAATCGGCATGCCATTTCAGAAAAAGTCTGATTTTGTGTAAAAATACGTATATTAGAATAATGCTATATATAAATCTAATACATATCCTAAGTTGTGCTTTCGAGACATGAAAAATGAAAGTTGAATTTTATCACTTTTCCCAGTAGAATGGAAGATATAGAAATGTCCCATTTTTTACCCCCCTGCAGTGTACATGCTTTGAACGACTAATACAGTACAATAAAGCGTAATAAAAACAATATATTGGTTGTTCTAAGTAGTATAAGACATATTTCAATTAAACAAAAATTTAAATATACATATCTTTTCACTATCTTAAAATGTAGTGGTTGAAATTGGATAAATATAACTTTGTGACTGAATATGTTTATGATTCAAAAAGAGTAATTAAAGTATAATGAAAAAATACTTGTCAACAATTTTGATATTGAATATTCTTAATTGTAGTTTATTACATAATTTAAATTTGAGTGTTTCATACATTTTTTAATGTTTTATAATGGTAAGACATAAAAAGTTCTATCATATGTATTTAAATTATTAAAATAGGTTTTAAAAATTTACTAATTCTAGAATGTGAAAACTGTAAGTCTGTTTAATTTGGTCAGTTTTAAAATAGTTTGTGACTATTAATACATCAAAAAAGTCTTTTCATAACTATTAGATTTTTTTACTAATAAATGCATTTTTATTTTATTAAATTTTAGGTATGGATGCATTTTTGACAATAAAACCTCAAATTATTCATGGGTTGAAGAATGTTCAAAATCAGCCTTCAGAATCTGAAAAATACGGTCAGTTAGATAAAGGGCCAGCAACATTTGGTGTTGTTAAACGCTTAAGAGATAATGATATGGAACTTCATACAAATCAACAAGTAAATGAAATTTTTGCCTTTGCATAATTATTTCTTTTTATTATGAAGGTAATTGATAATTAATATTCTGTTAAAATAATTGAATACTTTTATAGATGTATTCATGTGGCTCCCTTGCTCCAAAAATGGGTCGTGGAGGTGGATGCAGTGATCACAAATTTCGAAAACCATCAGAACCATGGGAACTTGCTGATGGGTAACTGAAAACTATATAGCGTTGAATTCTGATCTCTTTTGCAAACATTAAAAAGTGCCATGCCTGTATCATCTTAGACATAATTTATGACTATTTAACTTTAAAATGTCACTTTGTGTTTCAGAAAGTGCAATCCCCCCTTTCCTTCCTCAAGTTCCATGCTCATTAGAATTATATGTACCTAAAAATAATTGTTACCTATCTGATGCAGTATAAATCTCAAAAGTTTTAATATAAATTTTGTTTGAAGCTTATTTTTTGTTTATATTAATGTATAAAATGTGTGCATGTACATAATATTCCTGTAATTTATTTCTAAATTATAAATTGTGTGCATTGTAGGCTGTAATACCAGAAAAGTAAATAAATAAAATAAGATTTAAATTTCCTTTATACGAATAAATCTGTTTTATCAATATATTTTAAGTTTAATGGAAAAACTTACTTATATTTATTTAAAATTTTAATTTCATCTAATAGCCACTTCAAAGATGGGCATTTAAATTATCTTCATTGTAGATCTGAACTAACATTCAATGTAATATTTGTAATTGTTTAAAATTTGTAATTGTTTTGTCAGTTACAAAGATAGTGTAATTTTCCATTGAATATATAGTCATTTTAAAATTTGCTGCGGTTATAAAGCCAGAACTTTGGCCAAGTTATGCTAAGTTGTGCTTTTTTTGTCAGTTACAAAGATAGTGTAATTTAACATTATTTTTGACTTCCTTTATTTTAATGGTACAGATATGATGTATTCATTTTAATGGATCTTGGATTTAGTTTGTACTTAATACCATCAGAAATAAAACTGAAATTATTTCATTTTTATGATTAGTTTTTTTATATTTCTGTATCAACTATAGTTTGGACTGTTTAAAGTTGTAATATTTTTGAACTGCTTCATATTTAAATGTAGTTAATTTATGCATTTGGAAAAGTAAATTAATAAGTCTTATTTGTATTGATCATCCTTAATATTGTTTGCATCCCTATCTATTTCTGTCTCTTTGGGGGGTTGTTTGAAGTGGAAATTTATGTTTGATGTATATGAAATATGAAATTAAAAATTTTGTTTATTCAGTTCACTTTTGAACTTGAGACTTACAATTCTCTTCCGTTTCTCGACATTCTGGTCACACGTAACACATCCAACTTCAGTACTACGGTTTACCGTAAACCTTCATCGGTTTGCCTTCCACCACGCTTTAAATCGCGTCATCCGACTAAACAAAATTTAGCTTCATTTTATTCCTATGTTTTCCGTGCTCTTCAAGTTTGCTCCTCCAAACTAGCCCTTGATGAAGAACTAAATTATTTAAAAGCAATAGCTATTGACAGGGGCTTTTCACCTAACATTATTAATCAAGCAGTTAAAAAATTCTCATCTCAACACACTAAAAGGCACACTCTTTGTTTTAGGAGATTATAAAAATTCTGTTGTCATTCCCTTCTTTCCATCAATTAGCTATAAAGTTGAACATATTTTGCAGAAATTTAACTTTCGGGTTGTTTATTCTCCCATCAATAAAATTCCAAGTTCCATACTCAAGGACCCCATTCCGGATATGAATTCCTGGGGCATTTATAGGATTCCTTGCCAGTGTGGTTTAATTTACATTGGCCAAACTAAGAGAGCCTTAAAATTTTGCATCAAGGAACATGAGGCATATGTTAGAAAAAAGGAAACAGATGTCTTCTGTTGCTCAACATTGTTGGTCCGAAAATCACACTTTCAATTTTTCTGCTGCCAAAATTATTCAAAAAACATCTTCCATTGGAGAACTGGATTTTCTAGAGGCATTTCACATTCATAAAAATCTTTCTGTTCTAGTTAACGATCCTAATTCCAATCCAAATTTGCCTTTTTTAGTTCAAATCCTGTTTTAGTTCTGGTTTCAACAACAGACGGCGCCACTTGCTTATTCTTGTCCAGGCTTTCTTATCTTATCTAATCATTATTTCCTATCTTGTTCATTTGTGGTTTTGCAGCTGAGGATGGTGGTTCGGTAAAACCATCGAAACTAGTTTGTGAAAATTTTGTAAATATAACGCTGATTTTTGTTGTTTGACTTCTGAATTACCTATTTGTAGTTATGAATGTAATGTCTAGCTGTAGTCATATTACCATGCCATATAAAATGAGACCACTTGGAATGTTCTGTACCAGGGAAATCAAGAACTTACTAATCCTATCTCAAAAATCTGTAAAAATTATGACAAAAAAGGTCAGTTGTATAAAAATGTAAAGCGTTATTTATTTGCTATGAAAAGACACATTGGGCAAACAGATAACATAAATAATCATCTGTGCAGTTTAAAATGTTCAAAATCAATGCACAGTATTTTGTTTACGTGAAACTTTTTTTATATATAAAATCAAAAGACATTGGTTTAAGACAGTTGCAAATAAAACTGTTGCAAATAAAACTGTCTTAAATCAAAATTCAAACGTGTTTAAAGAACAGGTATTTGATTATGGTGGCATTTTTAAGTGGCATTTGGAATTTCAACCTCATTTTAATGGATTTCTTCATCTGGCATTTACATAAAAGATCAAATACATCTGATATCATCTGCTGGTTTCCTGGTTTTACATTACTGTATCATCGATGTAACATTTTCTATAGTGATCAATGCTTGTGTGGAAATAGTTTCTTGAATATATGGTAGTCTCTTTGAACATGTGTCCATCTGCATGTCTTGCTTTTTTGGTTGGTGCCGTCTTTCAGTTAGAGCACTTGATATGGCCATTTGATGTTAATGTGATACAAACTGTGTATCCATTAAACTTTATTTTCATACTCATATCTGGGTTTTATTCTTCAAATTTTGCACAAAACATCATGGATTACAGATATTTTCAGCCATTTTAGGCCATACAGGCAATTATTTATCATATCCATGTATGCAGTATGCCTTTTTATACTCAACTGGTAATGCTTTACAATTTTGTAGTTGAATTTTTTCTTGTATCTCTCACTTCTGAGGTAGGACTACAATTTAAGAGAGAGATTTTGAAGTAGGAAATTCTCAATTTCACTAGTAAGTGCTACTGTGAGTAATCTCATTTTCCAGAACATGGTCCTTTTACTATAACTAAATATTACATTCATAGCTGTAGTTAGCTATGTTGACCATTTGTTTAAAGACAAGCAAAATTTCTTATTTCTCCTGTACATACAAGCCTAATGTAACTGGTGACCATTTGTTTAGAGTCATTATTTTGTCATTATGTTGACCATTTGTTTAGAGACAAGCAAAATTTCTTATTTCTCATGTACATACAAGCCTAATGTAACTAACATTGTGTGTAGCCAGAAACTAGGCACAACTGTATATGAGATTGCAGCCATCAGATATGTATTAGATTTCCCTGAAATATATTTAGCAGAAATACAGAAATTAATGAACTTGCATCATGAGCAGTCAAGTGATAGTGATCTCATTAATATCTCATTAGTTAGTGAGTGGGTTTGGCAATGAATTTGCTGCTGAAATAAATGTTTCCGAAATTTCATTCTAAAGTAGTTGCAGAAAGTGTTTTGCATTGTTGAAGGGTTGAAAAATCAAATTATGAATTTGATCTAAGTATGGAAAGAGATATTCAAGTTCAACACGTAGTTGAAAATCCATGATACTGAAAAATCATAAGAAAAAGTATGAGAAAACAAAATGCTGTAACTGTCTTGGGGGAAATTTTTTATCAAAAAAGGCATAAATTAACCATTCATTATTTAATAATAAGTTTTCTTTGTTTCACTTTACTTCCTTTTAATATTATGCAAGACATTAAAAGGAATTATAAAACAGATACAAATTTGGATTAATTAGATTAATTTGGATGGTAAATTTGTCTTGTAATACCCCTACAGATTTACAGCCATTAGGAAAAAGGTTGATAATAAGATAGAGTGATTTTGGATAGCTGGCCATCTCTTGACTGTTTACACAAAAAGTGTCACAGGCATTAGATTCATGAAGAAATTAACCTTTTAATTGCATGTATTAATGAAATAAGCTGTATTTAACCCATTACGGATGGTTGCTATGTTTATGTGGCAGACTATATAGTTACATAAGTAAAATTCCCACTCTGATCTACAAACAGAACTTATAATAGAAAATGATTTTTCATAAGAACCAAGAATGGTTTCAAATCTTGCTCAGTAATTTAATTCTTAATTTTTGTACTGTTGTTTTCTATTGAAAGTTGTTAAAAAAGTAAGTATTTAAAAGTATTTAAGGACTCACTCCTATAATGTTCTTCCTAAATTTGATACCTGTCTCTACAAACAGCTAATGTTGTATTATTACAATTTTCATATAATTTCTGAAGTTAAATGCATCCTCTAAATGTTGGTAATAGAAACTGATGTTCATTAAAATAATTTTTCTGATATTGATTCTGCAAATAGAAAACTGAAGTTCACTGTGAAGAGTAACTAACTGTAGTGAAACTGATCTGTTGTTTGTACATTATTAATTCATCATTTATATAGCTGTATGAATATGTTTTAATTTAGTCTTTGTTTTCAGTTGTGTTCATTTGGTTGCTGAATTATCTCAAATTGGTGAGCTTACTGCTCAGATTTGTGAAATGCTGCCACTCCTTCATGAAGCAGTCAGTCATAAACATTATACCCATCATGTGTGTTTGCTTGAATCACTTTGCAAGCAGGTAATCATAGTTTAAAAAAAAAAAAAAAAAAAAAAAAAGAGAGAGAGAGAGAGAGAGAGAAAACTAAAAATTAAATAAATAAAATGTTAAACGTTATTTCTTATATAAATTAACATTATACTTATTGTGTCATCTCTTGATTTCTTTTGAACAGAAGAAGATGTATAAAATGAATAATTAAGATTCTAACTTTTTAACTGGTTGGCAAGTTTTTAAACTTTAAATAAAGGATTGATATTTGTTGCAAAATTTAACCTTTTTAAAAACTGGATGCTGTTATTTATAATTTTTGTGTAATTACAGCTGCCAAACATTTGCAAGGGTATTGGTAAAAGAAATTTCAAGCAATATTTAGAACTTTTCCTAGATGACATATTTTATAGCTTGGTAAGTAGTTTCAGAACTTTTTAGAGGCTATTCTCTAGTATTTAATGATTCTTTGCATTATATTTTTATTTCCCTTCAGAAGATTTTATATAGTATTGAAATTTTTAAGGTGGTCCCCCAATATTCAGCAACAATTTTTAATATTCCTTTTTTTCTTCATATCAGTATTTAAAATTGACCTGCATTTTCTTACTCTGTTTTAGACATGTGAAAATATTCTGACATCCAGTGCTGCAAGCCAGTGTCTAACATTGCTTTCTAATTTATTAGGAGCAAATATTTTACGTGCTAGAGTTGAAAATTTCAATCTGAGGTAAGTGTAACATCTATTGTATTTGCTTTTTAAATAAAGAGCTGAATGAATTCAAATCTATCTTTTTATTTATTAGTATTATAGCATATTAGCATGGTGATGATGCTTATAACCTATAAACTAGTTTAAGATCAATACTATCTTGCTGAAATTGCTTGACTGAAGATCAAATACTGAATGTCGCTGAAATGAGCCTTTATATTAATTGTCAAATACCTTAGGAGCCTTGAATTCATGTTATTTTCATAATCGCAGAAAATTTTGTGTGTGTTTAATAAGCTGAAAGTTTTAAATTTATTTCTGAGGGAAAAAACATGATTTACCTCTCAAATTTATAGTCTTTTTGTTGGAAATAAATGTCTGTCAGTGGTTAGTTGTTCAAAATATTCTTACCTGCTGTATGGGAAAGACAATACAAAATTTTTGTATAAGTGATTCGTCTAAAAAATTCTTTGAAATATCCCTTTTTTTCTTTTGTTTGTGTGTATGTGGTCGGAATAACAGTGATTGTATTAATCATTGTTGTTTTACAGCAAATGAATTATTAATGGGTTTAAAATCCTGAAACTTTATTTGCAAATAGTAGGGACAATTGTATATTTGATGTTCTTAGTGTAACTATTATTAGTTAATATACTTTTTTATTAATCTCGAGGAAATATGTATATTCGTGGCCAGTATTTTTTTATTTTTTTTTATTTTTTATTTTTTTAATTTTTATTTTTAATTTTTAATTTTTTTTTTTATTTTTTTTATTTTTTTTTTTTTTTTTTTTTTTTTGCAACTATTGATTATAGACATGTACTTTCAATTACAGAAATGTTTTAAAAATGCAGGTGTTCATGTTATGGGTATTTTTAAGTTTAAAAAAATTCATTTTGTAAAATTTACGAAATTTAATATTTTGTCTCTTTATCCCTATAGTTAAGTTTATACTCATTTTAAAATGTAAAATATAAAAAACTATGTTTTAAAAATTAATTGAAATATTTAATTTTAAAATGGCAGATTTTAATAGATTTAAATGTAAGAAAAACTAAATTTATCATTCTCCTTGAAAAGCGGGTTAAAAAGAGCTTATTCGAGGTTGGATTTTCCCATTTAATATCATGCAATGATATTCTCTTGCAATTTATTAGATATGACATTCTTTGATTAAAAAATATTTCCAAGTTTTCAAATGATAAAAATACATTACTAATGTTCACATGCAGTTTTGTTACTTCAGGATCATAACCTAGTAGTTACAGAAAAGAGAATTCATTGGACTAGAAATGTATTTCACCTTTCATTTATGCAAATGATATGTGTTGACTGAGTAATAGTACTTGAAGCCTGTCATTATTTTCTAGAACATAAGTTTTATAAGAGTGTATGAATAAGATCTCCTTTTTGAGAAAATTAAATTGATCAAAACTTTTCACAACAATCTGCATATCAGAGTTCACCACTTAATCTATTAGCATTAGAAACTTTTTTCTAAACTAATATGTCATTTTTAGTAGCATACATATTTAAATACTTTTTTTTTTTTTTTTCCAGTTTATCTGAATTTTCAGGAAATACGATCTGAAATATAAATAGCTCAGTGAATTTTTGTAATACAGGAGTCAAACATTTTAGATTTTATATTTTAGAATGAATATAAATGTCTACTAAATATAACTAAGGGACTGCAGAACTCAAAAAATGGTAGGCTTACACTTTACAAAAGTGATGTTTGTGTAATTTAAAAATGCCAAAGCACGAATTTTTGCATCATATAAAATGTTTTTGTAATTGGAAGTATATGTATATAATGGTTGTGAAAATAAAGGCTGCATAAGGAGTTTTATGGACACAATGTGCATTAGTTTTCATAAATTAACAAATGGAAATTTCACAATAGCATAACAAATACAAAAATGGTATGCCTAGATACTAGAGTTTAATAAATTGACAAAGTTCTGTATTTGCCTTTTGCTAGTAGCAACAAAAAAGGTATTTCATTTAATGCAGTAGCAAAGTGACTAAGGAATTTTTTTAATAATCAAGTAAAAATTTAGTCATGAGACCAACAGTCATTAGCAGTTTCAGCATTTCTCTTTAGAAAAGAATTTAAGTTGCAGATATTTTCAAAATACTTTATTTCAGCTGTTTATTTATAATAATTAATGCATGCAAAACATTGTAAAAAATAGTTGTAACCAATCCTTTAACATAAATTCTGCTGCTAATGTAAACTGTTCAACTAACTGTAATAACAAGGGTGCCCTCTGGTGAGTAACCAGAGAAGGACTTCAGTAAAATCCAAGTATTTAACTTGATAGGTTGTTTCAGACTCTTGCTGTGTAATTTTCTTAAAGTTAAATGTAATGTTTGTGTGTAACTTAAACCTGTTAATAAATAATTGTTACACTATAAAGGATTCTTATATGACCCCATATAGTGAAAATTAGACAATAAAATCATATCTGATTAACAATGTTTACTTTAAATTTAATGAAATTTATAATTACTTATATTTAATCATGTAATATTAATTTGATCATTTTTTCAGATTTTCAGAATATAACAGATATTTTGTTTTCTGCTAATTTGGAAAATGTATAGAAGGACCGTAAAGTTTCTGGAACTGTCTGTAAATGTTATTTTTCCTTAAATAATTCTTGTGTGCTTTACACTTCTATATGAAATGAAAGAAAATTTCAAATCTAATTGACAGCAAGGAAAAAAATAACAGGTCGCATATTATTTTCATTGGGAAGAAAATGTTTCAGTGGAAATCAAATCTTAGTAGGATGCTGTTCTAAGGAACACATTATCTTCATTTTCTACTGGGAGTTTTGGATATTCAAATTTAAGCATGCCGATTCTATCACAATTGTTGAATCGTGCAGAAAATCCAAAAATAGTTAACAGCCCAGAAGTTGTGGATAAAGGTCCATGACATGATTTCAGCTGATCGCTTAAGAAAAATGTGCAAAACTAAAGAAGCTGTGGACATCTCTTATAGCTGAAGAGTTAATATTTTACATGAAAAAAAACTTATCTTAGAAAAAACTTTGTCCAAGATGAATTCAGTTTTTGCTCTATCTTAAATGCATTCAGGCCTGAATCTAAGTTGAATGTTTAGAAATTTTTAAGAGAAATTCATCAGGTTTTGAGAGACATTTTTTTTTTTTTTTTTTTTTTTTTTTTTTTTTTTGTGTGTGACATATGACTCTAGTAGATGGATTCAGTAATTGCCACTAGAAACAAAATGCAGTCAAAGCAGTGGATTAAAGAATGTGAACAGTTCCAAAGGAGGCAGAAATCTTTCAGTCTGTTGGAAAGGGGAGATCATTAGTTTTTTTTGGGGGGATAGCAAAAAAAAATTATTTATTAATTGTGTCAAAAAGGAAAAAAAAAGTTATGTTACTGGCAAATAACTGAAAGTAACAATTTAGAAGATACATTTAGAAATAGTCAAGAAAAAAAATGCTTTTACCACGACTCACATGTTAATTCAAATGCAATAACTCTACAAAAATTGTCAGTTTTGTAATTCCAGATTCTTCTACATTCACCATATGTACCTGATTTGGCTCGTTCAGATTTATATCTAATCTTTAATAAAAAATTAATTGAGACTATTAATGGATATTTGGGGCTGCATGTTTAAAGTCTCTATTGGGGGGGGGGAAATCATGGACAAAGCTCACTGAGTTTTGAGAATGCTATGATATGAAGCAAAATATTAGTTGAATGAAATTTATTTTATTTGTCATTCCAGACAGTTTTTTAATCTATCCTCATAAATACAAAATTTTATGATAAAGAAATATTGAATGTTTTTGCCATAATAACATCTTGCTAAAAGTTTTCAAACTTTTTTCCAGATACCTGAATTTAATGGAAAAAATTGCAGAGATACACCCTTAAGTGCAGAATGCTTCAATGAGCATAGATTTAGTGAATGTATCTTTATATTTTCAAATGGAGGTTACATTGTGGATTTTGCTGTACATAGAATTAAAGGTTTACTTTCTCTTTTAAGCCTGTTATCTGTAATTTTCCTGTACAGTTAGTTCCCAGATTGTAAATATTTTTCTAAAATAAGAAATAATGCTTGCACAGTCAAATTTTAAAGAATGTGTAGAAAATATCTTTCTCTTCTTTTTTACATGTGCTTAACATCTTTTGTATATAAAATAAAGTCTCATTTTTTGAATTGTTTATGTTTATGATAGATATAAAAAGATCTGTTTAATGGATAATTTAGATTTTTTTTTAATAATAATGAAATTCAGAGAGAATTATCCAATTTCTAATTTTTGTGGTTTTAAAAATTAACCAAATGTATTGATGGGTTTTAAATGAATGTAAAGGGAAAATGTCAAAGTTTTAGTATATAAATAATAAGGAATATTTATTTGAAATTTCAAAAATTGTTTTTTAGGAGAAATAAAATGACATTTAAATAGATGAAAGCAAAAGCTTTGTTTGTTGAGTTCCGTAGTATCTTGTTGGATGCAATAGACCAAATCATTTTGTGTTTGAAAAAATGCCCAGAACAGACTTCACATTGGTCCCTATTATGGTCTCAATACTGAAGAAAGAATTTTAAAATCATGAGTCACATTATTATGGCTGTTGTAAGTGAGAGGTTTTTTTCTAAATGTGAAGGATCTCATCTGTTGCTCAACTCTGTATTTCCATAGCTGCATCCATTTAGTAGCCCTTTGGCAGGTTGACTAAGAGATACATACTCCTGTGACATGTGTTGAAATGAATACTGCATAATTCATATTAGATATTATGCTTCTCCGACTGCCACTTATATATGGGATTTATATGGCCATATCCCATGGTCATGCAGATATTTTGCAAGCAATAATACTTGGAGATCTGTTATAAGTAAAAATGGCTCATATTTTTATGTTACCTATGGGAAAAGTCATGAAACATGCACTAGCCTATTTGTCAATATTTAAATCTGGGTTGAACTAGTGCTGGGCAATTTTATCAATCAGAACACTAGTAGAAGTTCATTTAAGTCAGAACTTCTGCTGAAGGAAATAAATTCATATGTAAACAATGAAAATGGCCAGTCTGTTTAATATTTTTAGGATTTACATAATCTGACATTCTCCTACTCATTAAGAATTAATGCTTAAGAGTCAGGCAGTCTTTAATATCTGTGTAATAATAGTCATCAACTAGTCATTTAAAAATTTCATTTGTAATGTATGGAGCTCAAGCTTGTACTATAAGGTCTTTATGTGTGTGAATCTTTATTATATTCTAATAGGCATATGCCAAGCGGCAGATTTTCTGCACATTTTGCACAGCTGTGACTGAGCAACGAAATTGCTAGCTGGTAGTTCATTTCTCCTTCAGATCTCTATAAATAGGATAGCTGCATGAGGAATTTCTGATTTTCTGCATGTGTAATATGAATACAAGCCAGTTTCCCTTGGAAGTCCTACTTGACGGCATTCCTCCTGTCATGCAGGTAGCATTCACATGCCAGAATTCAAATAATCTAATCTAATCCTGTCTACAGTTATTAATGCCTTATTAATTTTATTTAAACAATTCATTGCAGATCTTGATCTTCAGAAGCGACCAGAAGTTGGAAATAGAAAAATTCTTTTATGCATTGTAATTAAATAACATGGGAAGATATTTCTTTGCTGTGTGTTATCAGACCTCTAAAAATGAACCATAGACAAACTATGCAGCCTTTCATGAGCTGCCAGTTATTACTTATCTTTTGCTAAATCATTGCCATGGGTTAAATCATAACATGATGAAAAAATTATTTTACTTGACCACTTCTAATTGCTTCTGAATTCAATTTAAATGTAGTGACCTGTTATGTAACTATTCATTTATGAAGCCTTTATACTCTTTTTGAATTTTGAAATGCAGCATTGGCTGCAAATTTTTTTCTATTGATAACTAACATGAAATAAAAAAAGATGTAGTTCAGTCAGTGTAAAAATTAGCACACGTAAAAATGAAAATATCATTGATTGCAGTTTTGTTGGAACTCCGCATTGCAAAACTTTAATATTACAATAAAAATACTAAAAGTTCTAATGCATCGTGTCAAGATGAAAAACAATTACAAAATTCTGAAGTAAGTTAGTGAATAATACTTGAAAAATTAGCTGTAGAAATCAACCATGATGTAGGTCAAAACAACAATTAAAGAAAATAACTGTGCAATAGTTCAGTGTGAAAATTAACACAACTTTAAGGGTGAGTCAAAAGTCATACACATCAAACTTTAAAAAACTGGATATTCCAAAATGCATATTAATAACAAATTGCTTTAATGGATGGCACTCCTGTGTTGTTATAAATAATTGTCATTTGTGATTTTTGTTTGTGCTGTTAGCTGTAGAAGCAAATTTTTTTTTTTTTTTTTTTTTTTTTTTTTGAGTTGTAGATTTTTCTAATCAGAATAAATTTTTATGATTGAGCTTTGCAATGCATTTTTATGGTAATCAAACATTTAAAGAGACCTTCCCAAATGTTCATGACCATAACATTACAATAATTTTCCCTTTACTAATCTGATTTTGAGTAACTGGAAACATTTGTACCATAAGAAACGATTTTGTGCACTTTATGTAATAAATTGATTGTGATGCCTGTTGTCCAGTTGTCACACATTTTTTGTTGGTGATTGCAGTACTTTAATCATGAAAATAAGAAGAGGTGAATTGCCTTGTTTCTTACGGGAATGCTTCCAGCTTTTCAAAATGAATTTACCTAATCGAAATCATTGTCTTTTTAAGTTGATGAACATTTGAGAAGTTTTTCTTTTTGAATGCTTATACAATTTTCCAGAAGATCGCATTGCAAAGTCATGCTAAATAAAAAAAAAATCATTCTTCTTGGGAGAAATTCATTTCCATCTTGAATAAACAAACAATTGTTAAAGCTAACAGCATAAACTGCAACTGAAATTTTAAATGAGATATTACTTGGAATAGCATAGTGCTGTCATCCATTGAAGTAATTTGTCATTAATATTCATTATGTAATTTCTTCAATTTTTGAAAGTTTCATATGTATGACTGTTGGATTACTCTGCAAAATGAAAATATCACCAAATGCAATTTTTATTGGAACCAGTCAGACATTATCAAAGTGTTATTGTTACAGTGAATACAGTAGAAATTCTAGTGCTTCACAAGAAACTGCAGTCTGTGATATTTTTGTTTATATTTGTGTTAATTTCACAGAGTACTTTTTGATTATTTTAAACTATACAATGTTATTTTTCTTCAGTCTTTAACATGAATTGCTAACAGTGTCTTAGAACTGTCAAGTTCTGTAGTTACAATAGATGTGCCATACATGATTACACAAGAGTTTTGCTTAAAATAATTTCACAAAATGTTTCAAAAAGTTCTTGTTTATTAAGTAAATATTCCAATTTCCCCAGATTTTAAACTTTTGAATCTATTAAATTTGACATGTCTACCAATAAGGTGTGTGTTGAGTGGGTTTGAATGGTTAATTTCCCTTTTGAGTCTGCAAAATGTAATGTGTGGGTAGGGGAAAAAAATGGTAATTACATTGTTTTATAATTGTATCTATTAGGTTTCTGAGAAACTATGCCCTAGCTGGGATTAAAACCATGAATTTTCCAATGCTAGTTAGCTCAAAGCTAACCACTTATACTACAAGAGCATGCATGGAGAAATGCAATAAATCACTATAGTCTCTTCCACTTTAAAGTTAACTTAGAAGAGGCACAAAAAATAGTCATTTAATTACATTGGGTAACTACACTGCTGGCCACCCTAAATGCAACACCCTGAAGGAAGCATGCAAATAACATGAAATTTACGACTTGCATTAGCGGAGGCGAGATATGCAAATGATTAGAATTTCAGCGCAGATGCACATCACACACGCCTGTGTCACCACTTCGAAGCACTATTTAAGGCTTGGAGTTTTTGACAATTTCAAGTTCGGCAATTGTGTTTTCTTGTTTTTTTTTTTTTTTCGGTTTCCTCCCCCCCCCCGAAAAAAAAAGGATCAATTATGCCTCGTAGTAGACAGCGATCATTCGCTTGATCAAGTATCCGAGTTCTTTGACATAGGAAGGATAGTGGCCTATCGAGACTGTGGATTATCTTTCAGGGAAATCGTTAGTCATGTTGGACGAAATCAAACAACTGTAATGCAGATATGTGACCGTTGGATCCAGAAGGGTACGACGGACCAATGTGTTCGATCGCATCCACCTCAGCGCACCACTTCACGTGATAACAGGAACATTATTCGCATGGCAGTGACGGATCGCTCACTCACATCACAAACCATAACACAGCATGTTCAGTCTGTAACGCATCATCCAGTGTCTTCATGCACCATTCGACACAGTTTACAGCAGATGGTCTGTCCACAAGATGTCCATTGCTTCGTCTACCCTTGATGCAGAACCATAGACGTCTCTGCCGCCAATGGTGTGATGAAAGAAGGATGTGGATGGCAGAATGGAATGAAATTGTCTTAACTGACAAGCCACGCTTCTGTCTGCAATACCACGATGGTCGGATTCGAGTCTGGAGACACCATGAAGAGAGGATGCTGAACACCGCCACACTGGTCTTGCACCGGGTATTATGGTATGGGGCGGTATTGGATATCACTCTTGCACTCCTCTAATACGCATTGCCAGTACTTTAAACAGCCAGGACTACATCTCAGAGGTGTTGGAGCCAGTTGTCCTTCCCTACCTTCAGGGCTTACCCACAGCCATATTTCAACAGGATAATGCGCGACCACATGTGCAATGCATTGCCCAAGGGTTTTTTGTCAATCGCCAGATTGAATTGCTTCCTTGGCCGGCTCGCTGTCCAGATCTTTCGCCGATACAAAACATGTGGTCCATGGTTGCCAGAGGCGTAGCTAGGGTTTTCAGTGCCCGGGGACAACTGAAGATTTTGCGCCCCCCTCTGTGTGCAACGAACGGAAAACACTTCATTCTAAAATTTCGTACCATCAATTTGGCACACCCCCTGGATGCT